CCTGATATGGAAGGTTTCTAAGTCACGGAATCATTTTCGTCATTCTTCGCTGCACCGACTCTAGTGAATTTATATCCATTTTATAATAGGGGCACCAGAACTGAACAGCATAATCGAGGTGCGGCCTGACTAGCACAAGATATAGTTGCAATAAGACCTCCGTACTCTTGTATGTATGTATGTATGAAAATATAATAACAAGGTTAGTGTAATTATTCTCCACCTATAATTAATATAATCACCTGTGTAATAATCGCTAATTAATGGGTAAAAAACTTAATATAATTCTTACGATAGTGAACAAAAAAGTAATCCAGCCGTTCTTACATACATAACCATATTAATGTAATCTATATATTAATTACATAATATTTAATGTAACTTATGCGTAATGTAATGAGCTGTGTGTTGTAGGTGTAATTACATATTAATTGTATTTTTTATCTTCATTGGACCGGGTATAAATGTAATTGGTCGCTTGGTGTTATTGTAATTAGGGAGAGTAAGGGGGTGTGTGTGTGTGTGTGTGTGTGTGTGTGTGTGTGTGGTTATGTTAGAAGACCTTATGTAGATATATAGATAGATAGATAGATAGATAGATAGATAGATAGATAGATAGATAGATAGATAGATAGATACTTTTACATTACACTTATCTTAACAAAAAAAAAACCAAAACCAAAACACATCCTATCTTCCTCGTGAGTGTCTTAAAACAAAACAAAACTCAAGACAACACATTCTACTTCCATCACAAATTTACTAAAGAACACTTCATCTTAAGAGTTAATGTTGCTAACTTAATGAACATCTACTGAGTTCCCGCTGAGGTGATGTGTGTCTGACTCTTGAGGTATGGACAGGTGAGGTAAGGTGAGGTGTGGTGAGGTGTGGACAGGTGAGGAAAGGTGTGAATACCTGTCTAATTAATCTACCTCCTTCTCTATCTATCTATCTATCTATCTATCTATCTATCTATCTATCCCTCACCATCACTGACACTCTCTCGTCACCATTAATCTCAAGCGTTGTCATGGTAACGCTTGCCTCTACCACCTCACTGTAAACAAAGGAGAGAGGGAGAGAAAATTATAGGTGTGGTGAGGGAAAGTTGTTTGTGTGTGGTGAGGGGAGGTTGTTTGTGTGTGGTGAGGGGAAGTTGTTTGTGTGTGGTGAGGGGAAGTTGTTTGTGTGTGGTGAGGGGAGGTTGTTTGTGTGTTGTGAGGGGAAGTTGTTTGTGTGTGGTGAGGGGAAGTTGTTTGTGTTGTGAGGGGAAGTTGTTTGTGTGTTGTGAGGGAAAGTTGTTTGTGTGTGGTGAGGGGAAGTTGTTTGTGTGTGGTGAGGGGAAGTTGTTTGTGTGTGGTGAGGGGAGGTTGTTTGTGTGTTGTGAGGGGAAGTTGTTTGTGTGTAGTGAGGGGAGGTTGTTTGTATTGTGAGGGAAAGTGTCTCCTCCTCCTCTCCCTACTTTCCTCACCCCTCACCTCTTCCCCTCCCTTCCTTCCTCTCTCACCAACAAGCTCATCTCCTTTGGGAAATAATGAGATGGAACAGTATGCCTGCAGACCCACGAGCAGACTAAGGTACTGTATGATCACACACACACACACACACACATGTTGTAGGATAATAATAATAATAATAATAATAATAATAATAATAATAATAATAATAATAATAATAATAATAATAATAGAACCTAAAATACAAAAAATACTACTACTACTACAACAACAACAACTCCTACCACTACTACTCCTACTACAACTACTACCACTACTACTACAACGATTACTACTACTAACCCGCAATAAAGAAAAAATTACTCCTGGCTATAGAATGTTGCATCAGAATTTATTTTTAGGTAAAATCCTTAGCACTGTGGCCAATCAAACTCCCCCCCTTACTTCCCTAATATCTTAAAGGCTTAACAGATGTGAAATAGCGAAGCAAGATAAACTGAACCTTCTCTCAGACTCAGGTTCGTAAGGATATGAACCCTAGAGGCTTCAAAACATGACCTCGGTTCTTTGGGATGGTTTCAAGCAGTAAAGAAGTAGGAATGAACGAAGGCTATACAACATCTTCAGAGTCTACTAGCTGGTGGGGGTTGGGGGGGGTGGGGAGAGGAGGGGTTAGGTAGTGAACTGAGGAGAACGAGATCCAAGGCTTCATATATCTCGTTACGATGAGATGGTCTCGGCAGGAACGAGATCCAAAGCTTCAAAAAGTCGAGGCATTGTGTGTGTGTGTGTGATTGCCTCAAGCTGGGAGGTGACACTAATGAGTACAAAGGTTTCAAATGACTCGGGAGCTTCATGTTGTGTCTAGGAAATGTAAAATGGTTCGAACAGGATCAGTTTTGTTTATCTGTTGAAGACTCGGAGTTTATCTGTCTGAGAGCGAACACTAATGGTATTTTACTTAAATGTTTTCTAACGGGACTCCACACAAACGTTCACTGACGAGATCCCACTCAAACGTGTATTGTTCGACTCCACACAAACGTTTAATGACGAGATCCCACTCAAACGTGTATTGTTCGACTCCACACAAACGTTCACTGACGAGATCCCACTCAAACGTGTATTGTTCGACTCCACACAAACGTTTAACGATGGAACTCCTACACAAAGTTTCACCGACGGAATCCCACTTAAACGTTTATTAATAGAACACCCACACAAACGTTCACTCAAAGGGTTTAGACTATAGATGATAATACACCTCCCGCTTCAACAAAAGTCCTGCGGGTTTTTATCTATATTGCAATAGTCAACAAATTTCAACAGAGAATAACACTATAAATAAATCATAAGAAAAAACTACCTCGTATACTTTCTCTCTGAGTCATTGATTTGAATTTGTTTCCGATTTCTCGTTAGACTGATATATTGCTCGTTCAATTTTTGCAATATTATTCTTTTTTCAATGTGCAATGTAACTTCTTTTGTTTTTGTTTTACATCTGGGGAAAATATATACTATTTTCCCGACTTTTTTCCCCCAAACTTTTTTCTCCTTGAGCGAAAAAAGCAGAATTTTTTTATATATATTTTATTTGTGTTTTTTTAGTACCAATTGTCTTCATAGTTGTTGGGGGAAAAAGAATCGTACCGCCCGTCTCCTTTTCCTCTTCCCTCTCACCCCACTCCCCTCTCTCTTACTCCCCTCCACTCTACCTAACCCCCCTCACCTAACCCCACCTCTCCCATTTTTGACTCCATCCATTTTCAACTCTCTCTCTTCCTCTACTTAACCCACTCTCCCTTCTAAGTAACCATCCTTCTCCCTCCCACTAACTCCACCACCCCCTCCCCCTCTCTAACCAATATCCCCCACATATACAGGTACATAGACAGGTTTCAATAGCGTTTATTATCGAAGGAAAACTTGATCCCCGTTCACGGTGGTTTCCTCAAACGTTAAATTAAATCCGAGTTTGTTGAATTTTCATGTGTGGTGACTGGAGCCGTACCACACACCGGGGGATGTTGACACCACTTAACCTAACCTAACCTGACCTGATGTGACCTGATCTAACCTTGCCTGACCTGACGTGACCTAACTTAACCTAACCTAACCTAATCTAACCTAACCTGTTATGTATCCGGTTAGATTAGAGAGAGAGAGAGAGAGAGAGAGAGAGAGAGAGAGAGAGAGAGAGACCCTTCCTTTAAAGACGTCACCTGTACTGATGAGATGTTACCTAACCCTAATATAGATATAAAAGTCCGTTGTATTAAAGCTTCATCAAGTGTGAAACCCCAATATAACGGATATAACGGATTTTATAGGTTGAAAAATCCGTTATATAGAGGTTCCACTATAGTCATATCTATTCACACCAGCATAAGTATAATTCCATTCATCGGCGCAGTGATTTACCGCCAAAACCTTATAATAAACTGCAAACTATATTTCATGAACGGAGCGACGTAAAAATTTCATTAAAAAAATATTAATTGTAAATGTTTATTGCATATTTAAAACACCGGAAACATAATTGGAATTTTTTAAACTGACTGCATCGTTTTTTTTACTACCAATATGAAGTGTTTTAGGGCATCATTAAGGAGATATTGTTGTAAGTTACTGCTTTTGGTGGTGATTGGAGAGTTGATGTGGTTGTTCGGGTTATGTCGTGTCGTCTCGGGTTTATGTCGGGTCGATTCGGGTCACTTCGGCTCACTTCAGGTTACTTCGGGTCGTCTCAGGCCGATTCGGGTCACTTCGGCTCACCTCAGGTTACTTCGGGTCGTCTCAGGTCGATTCGGGTCACTTCGGGTTGATTCGGGTCACTTCGGCTCACTTCAGGTTACTTCGGGTCGTCTCAGGTCACTTCGGGTTACTTTGGGTCGTCTCGGGTTGAGAATGTAAACAATATGTGTCAATAATCCTCCCTTGTTTTCATGGCTCTATCCTGTCTTTATATTTACTTCTTTAATATTAAATTCCCCTCTTATATCCTGTTTAAATACCCCTTGTTATATCCTGTTTATATACCGTTTAAATCACCTGTTTATATAACCCTTAACCCTTTAGATTCACCTGTTTATATAACCCTTAGATTCACCCCTTAATTCCCATCCATCTAAATCTCATCTGGATTTCTGGTCACATTTTTACGGTTCCAATACAATTACTTTTTTTTATCTATAATTCAATTCTCTACCTAATTACTGTTTTAAATATAATCTCGCTTATTTAATTACCTACAAGTAATTATAGTCTACCAGCTTGTGTTATTCTGTTCTATACTAGTTGGTATAATTATATGATGTATTCATTTTAATTATATAATGTATTTAATCTTATATGAATATATATTATACATGTACAGTATGTATATATAAATTTTGGCAATACAGTATATATATAAAAATCTTAGTAGTGTATATATATATATTGGTTGTATGTATGATCATTAGTTAGGCATAGTTAACGAGATAACTAGGACCATTAAGAGGCGTTAAAAAGTAGTTATGCACAGTTCCAGAGCTACACAATGAAGGGCCATTAGCGCACACCAACACCCATGGAAACGTCGTGCGTCTGGCAGCGTGAGGCGGCCACCCAAGGGTCCGCCCAGGGAAGTGCTGCCAGTGTCTCTTCAGCCAGTGTATCATGCGAGTGGGAAACGGTAACCTTTGACCTTTAAACAGTGACGTCATCATTTCGGGATTGTAACAGGTGTTCTACTGGTATGCTCCCCCCCACATCATCCTCTACAATGTGTTTAATGTTATATGACTTTGTTTATATCACTTTGTCTACAGTGAATGTAAACAAATTAATTAGTGTGCTTATGAAACTAATTTGTCTTAGTACTTATTCACTATTTAATAACTACGCATTAATTATTTTTTAACAAATTAGGATTAGTTAAAATGAAGAGAAATTGTCTTAATTATTTGTCGTGTTGTTGTAGTTGGAAGCGTAAAGCGACAACAGACTAATAATTATATTTAAATTAATTTCAATTTTATTTTCATGGTGTTGAAATGTAAAAATAAATAAACGCAAAATAATATTAAAAAAAGTTACGTGGAAGCTTTTATTTACAAACTTTTTATATATGATATACCAAAAGTATTATACCGTGAAAGATATACGAGAATATACTTTCCTAGCTAGAGGGATATACTCAGATTAAAGTATACTCCTAGTGAAAGTATTTTAACCAGAAGTACTGTATATATCAAAGCTAATAATAAAACGTTACAGGATATTACCAACAAGATTATTATACTCCAGGTGAATCATAATACCAGCCAAAAGTATTATTACGTCCATTAAGATACACTAAAGTTGGTATAAGACTTGTAAGGTAAATATCACTATGTCATTATACCATTAAACTTTACATCAGGAGAAAGTATACTACTGGTGAAAGTATAATGACCTACTTCAGAGCATAATGAAGATGGCATTACACATGAACGTAAAAGTATAATTAATTTGGGTTTATTTGACCCTGGATGATTTACAACAGGTTTATGAAAGTATTATTATCTATTTTCAAAGTATAATAAAAGATGACATTATACATGAACATAAAGTATTATGAATTTCGTTTTATTTACCCAAGAGTAATTTACCAGAAACTGATAAAAGTATTATTACCTTGTCTAAAGTATTCGACTCGTGGCATAAGACTCGACCAAAGTCTTATTACACCACAGTAACAACGAGCTTAAGCTTTAAACAATAAGCTTAAGAAAGTATTATAATGTGACTGATAATTATAATACTTCGACTAACCAGCTTAAAAGATTATCATGCCTGAACCAACACGATTGAAAATATTATACACTATCTGAGCCAAACAATTTATAACTCCTCAATTATCACGCTTTGTTTATAAAGTATAATAATTTAACCAGAAAGTTTAATAATTTATCATAACTGAACAATAATCTGAAGAAATTAGCATACCTTCATTAACCGGCACAAATTATTATACTTTAATTAAAAACCTGAACAAACTATCATACTTTTAACTCAAGACCTGAACAAGATCATCATACTCTCATTAAAATCCTGAACAAATAATCATACTTCAAATAAGGTATAATTTCTATGTTATATAATTCTGGTTAGTTGGGTGAACCGAATTGGCTGACTGGTGAACCGGTATCAATTTTAGTGAACCGTTGAGCTAGCTAGTGACCCAGTGATAGTAGCTCGAGAAAGTGACTCAGGAAAGTACCTTAAAGATACACCATTTGCTCTAGAAAGTGACCTAATTTAGTGCACAAGTATTATTAAGTTGCGGAAGTGACCGTGGAAAGTGACACGATGTACTACTGGTTTGAGTAAGTACGAAATTGGCCTTAGAAATTAATATTTAATCTGAGGAAGTAGAGTTAGCTCAGGGAAAGTGACCATAGAGAAGAAGCAGTGAATGAGAAAGTGACCTGAGAATGGTCAGGAAAGTAACACCAGGAAGTGAGATGGAGAGAAAGTGACATAACGATGGATACTCAACGGCGAAAGTGACTTGATAAGTATCTTTACCTAAGAAAGTGACATGCTAAGTATCTTTACTTAAGAAAGTGACATGAAAATTATACTCATTAGAGAGAGAAAGTAATTAAATACCAAGACTACCTAACCTCAAGAACCAAACTAATTAAAGAAAGTAACAGCAGAAAGTACCTATAACCCAAGAAAGTGACACGAGAAAGTACTGTGACCAGAGAAAGTGACACGAGAAAGTACTGTGACCAGGGAAAGTGACACGAGAAAGTACTGTGACCAGAGAAAGTGACACGAGAAAGTACTGTGACCAGGGAAAGTGACACGAGAAAGTACTGTGACCAGGGAAAGTGACACGAGAAAGTACTGTGACCAGAGAAAGTGACACGAGAAAGTACTGTGACCAGGGAAAGTGACACGAGAAAGTACTGTGACCAGGGAAAGTGACACGAGAAAGTACATGTGACCAGAGAAAGTGACACGAGAAAGTACCTGTGACCAGAGAAAGTGACACACCTGAGCTGCATAAGTAACCTGACCAATCAAAGTGAAACGAGACAAAATTTATGACCCAAACGGAAGACAATTAACCTTTGACCTCAATGTGATGACCCAAGTGATAATGATGACCTGGGAAAAGGCTTACCTGTATGACCTGTGACCTGAAGTTAATGAGTGATTTTTACCTGTGGGTCTGGTCACGGTGTATGGGCAGTGACGCATTTAAAGAGTGAAAACATTTGACGGAATTACGCTCTTGTTGAGAGTCTTGGGGGGCACACACACACACACACACACACACACACACACACATACGAAGGAGGTGAAGGAGTTGGATAGGTAGACGAAGAAGGAAGAAGGAACAAATGAAGGAAGGAAAAGGGGGAAGTGTAATGGTGTCGATATAATCATGTGTGTGTGTGTGTGTGTGTGTGTGCGTGCGTGTGTGTGTGTGTGTGTAGGCTAACATGTCCAGGTGGATGTATTGTGTTTATTTAACCTGTAAACATCTAGCTCGACCACAAGGTAAACATCTCCGAGACCAGGTGTTGACACGACCAAACATTACAAACAAACTGTATTTTGGGGTCAGTCAAATATATGTATGAGAGAGAGAGAGAGAGAGAGAGAGAGATAGAGAGAGATTCAACATAACTCCTATTACTGCCACAATTACTACAACTACCACTACCACAACAACCACCACCACTACTACCACCGCTACAACAACAACAACCATCACCACCAAAGGTCCCTGAAGCCCCCTTCCTCAACCACCACCACAACAACTATCACTACCACCATCACTACCACCCCCTACACCCTCCTCGACCACCATGAAAGGAGTACTAATTGTGTGATTTACGCATCAACCAATCCTCTTCTTCAGGGCTTCAACTCTCACTTAACTAGGGCATTCAGATCTCCCTACACCCCTCCCCTTTACCGGAGCTAAAGGGGGCTACAGACCACTCCCCCTTACTGCAGCCAACAAGAGTCCTGAGGGAAGAATGAATGCAGTGTGTGTGTGTGTGTGTGTGTGTGTTGATCTCTCTCCTCTTCCCCAAATTTTTCAATTGATTTGTATATCTGTGCTTCTCCTTCTCTCCCTCTCTCCTTCTCTTCCTCCCTCCTTCTCTCAGCATCTCTCTACCTTGCTCTCTTTCCACTAGCTAACTTTTTCCCTATATTCTTCTAATGTGTACCTAGTCTCTCTCTCTCTCTCTCTCTCACTGTATGTTATGTTGTAATAATACCCCCTGGAGTGTCTCTTATCCAGGTTAATTACACAGGTAATTAACTTATCATCATCAAGGTGTATATCACAGGTGTTTGTTGTGGCCGCCGTCAGCCAGGCTCGTTAATGGCCTGACCAGCTCGTTAATAAAACAATTTCATCAACCACTATCACTACCACTCTCACTACCACCATCATCACTACCATTACCACCATCACCAACACCCTTACTAACACCATCATCACCACCACCATTACCACTACCACCATCACCACTACATAACCTCCCAAGATGTTCACTACTAGCTGTCAGGAAAGGACTTAAGAGACATCATATGTATCTCTGTAGCCTCAGGTAATTCTGTAGTCGCTCTCACTCATCACTGTGTAATCCTTGTAATTAATCCTAACTACCTCATTAGAGTTAGATGCTTTGATGTTATTCTGGGCCTGACAGGAGAGAGAGAGAGAGAGAGAGAGAGAGAGAGAGAGAGAGAGAGAGAGAGAGAGGAGTCAAATACAGACTTCTATAACTCTACTTCTTGTATTTCACAAACAAAACACACACACACACACACACACACACACACACACACACACACACACAGGTAACATGGCCAGGTGTTGTCTTAATCAAGGAGAGTGATAGGTAAGGAAGATGCAGCATCACATTACCGTCACTTACCTGTACTGAATGTTGCCTAATGAGGTGAGTATGTGTTGCGTCTCACCTGGGTAAACATAACATACACACAAGGGACTTTAACACCAGATCATTTTTTCTCTTAATTTTTTTCACACGAGATTAATATTTTTTCTCTTAGTTTTTCATTTAATTTTGTCTCTATTTAACTACACCAAGGCACTCATTGATGACCCTTGTGCGCGCGCGTGTGTGTGTGTGTGTGTGAGTTATGAGAGGGGGGGTGTAATGGGAATATCTAAACTCACAAACTCCGGTAATGATCATAAACTTGAGGCATAACACACACTCAGCATTTGTCACTGTGTGTGGTGGGCGGTGGTGGGCGGAGGGTGGGGTGGGTGGTGGAGAGTGGGTAGTGGGTGGGTGGGTGGGCCGAGTGGGGTGGGTGAGAGGGGTGACAAGAAGGCTTCAATGTGTCATACTTGTAATTCGTAAATGTCATGTGGTCCTCATTATTCGAAGGAGGAAGCTCTACTTTTAATTATTTTTCTTGTTATTCTTGTTGTTGTTGCTGTTTTTGTTCTTCTTATCTTCTTTTTCTTCTTTCTTTTTTGTTGTTGTTCTCATCTTATCTGTTTCTTTTTCTTGTTGTTGTTGTTGTTTTTTGTTGTTGTTCTTCTCATCTTATCTTTTCATTTTATTTTGTTTTCTTATTCTTGTTGTTTTTGTTGTAATTCTTATCTTCTTTTCTTTCTTTTTTTCTTGTTGTTGTTGTTGTTTTTGTTGTAGTTCTCATCTTCTTTTTCTTCTTTTTGTTGTTGTTGTTGTTGTTTACAAAC